CAGTCAGGAAACCCAACCTGCAGCTGCTGAAGAAACATGTGAAGGGATGTGTGGTTCCTAGCACTACCTTGCCTGGTGCTGAAAATTACCAGCGTGCCAGTCCTAAAAAAATTGCCAGAGAAAAACACCAGAAAAGAGCCAGGAACTAAAGCTTCCTCCTCTTCACATAACATTGAATTGCTTCTCCAAATACCTCATATGACTGGACCTGGAAATACATAACTGAGAAAACCAAACCAAACAAACAATCAAAAAAAAATGAACCAAAAAGAAACGTTGACATAATCCATCTCCTAATCTAAGTAAGGGAAAAGGGGCTAGGCTGGGAGCTGAGACAAAGTACTGAGCACTGGGACACAAATTAGTATAAGATGGAAAGATGACTGAAGGTGAGGGACAAGTGTTAATTCAATCTTTGATAAGCTTTGATGTCATATTTTCAGGTCCGGGAGAGTACTGTGAAATTAGAGAAAATTTATTTTAAAAGCACTCTGTATACGTATTTGTATACATGTACCTACACTTATCTGTTTATCTATAATTCTACATGAATAAACTATACATATATACAAGTTATAGATCACATTAACATACATGCTCACACTCCAAGTCTGCTAGAGTAGATTAATCTGATGTAAAAGAAATTGGAAACGATGTAAATATAACTCTCATGCCTGAAATTCTCCAGAAAAATAAAAGCAGAAAACAGAAACCAAGCGAAATATAAAAAGGGTTCTCATCAACTTTGTGATGAGAAATGACTCAGTTTTCATGATGACAAGGTGAAATGTTTTATTCTTGATGGATACACCTTTTGCTGAAAAGTAAGAAAAAAATAAGGAGGACAACTTTGAACTTGTGTTTACTGAAAACAGACGTAATCTAAACAGACATGCAGCCAATGGGAAAGAAGAGCACATCCATTTTATAACCTACAAATAGAAGAAGATGTGGAGGCACATGGCTCATTAAAAACATTTAATTAATAAGAACAAACAATGGAGATATTTCATTTCCTTTTTGGTAGTGTAACTGCCGTTCTTTCTGTGAAGTACATAGTCTGTAGCAAAACCTAACTAAACTCCTAGGTCCTCCTGTTCAAGTCAGTGATGTAGATTTGTTCTGACACTAGCCTGAGGGAAAATAGCAGCATAGCACAAAGAATTAAGAACCAAAGAAAAAACACCTCACATATGTATATACACATGTGCACATGTACATAAACATGCAGACACATGCTCACGCTTGGCGATCACAAACTCATTAACCAGTGTAATTGTCCAAAGAAAGTTGTGGATCTGAATTATAATTAATGATTCTAATTACGGTGTCTGCAGTTAAGTTAAAAATCTTTAATTTCAACATTTAAAAATTAATGAGTAAGAAGGTAATTAAGCGTTAGAAATGTACTGGTAGTTAACAATGGGCAAAGTTTGTAGTAGGCGTGCACACTACAGCAATTTCTCCCATGTCTGACCTACCTCCATGAATTTCCATATAAAGAAATAGTCCTTTCCACGAAACATATACATGTTTTAATTTTTTTCCTGTATTAGTGGACATTTCATTGCATGTGCATATCTTGTGACATTAGCAGTGTAGCTACAAAACGTTGTACCCGGGACTGTAAAAAGAGCCACAGCTGAGGTGGTTGTTCCTAGCTCAGTATTAGTGCTACAGCACTGGAAACTGGAATAGAATTGTAGAGTTCTCATCTACTGTGTTATCCTTTATATTATTAACAAATTAGACATTCAGGTGAGTGAGACCTTGATGTATTGTTCACATTGATCTGCTGGGGTCCTATTTTTATTCTTCTCTGTAAACATGCAGTACGAAGTAGAAATCCCAAGAAGCCAATGCGGTCCTGTGTAGTTTAGAAGTACAGAAAGCCATAAGATACTAGTGTCTAGTAAAAAAGTCACAATGGGGTTGCATGTTAATCTTTCTTCACATTGTCATTTGCTGATGTCGTTGGTCTAGGGGACTTGGGATGCAATGTGCATCAGAAGTTAAGTTATGATCTTTGCCTATTTTAAAATTGGCATTTGAAAGTTAGTTTTTAGCCCCTAAGGGGAGAAGAACTCCTTGGGAAGACCAACAGAATCAACTAACATGCATCCTTGGGGCTCCCAGAGATTGAATCACCACCCAAAGAATGTACATGGACTGGACCGAGGCTTCCCTGCACAGATATAGGAGATATGCAGCTTGGTTTGCATGTGGGTCCCAAACAACTGGAGCAAGAGCTGTCCCAAAGGCTGTTGCCTGTATGTGGGATATGTTCTTCTAGGTAGGCGGCCTTGTCTGGTCTCAGTGCAGAATGAGGCATCTAGCCTTGCAGAGACTTGAAGTACCAAAGTGGGGAGATACCCTGGGGCGTCCCTTCTCCTCAGAGGAGAAGTGGAGGGGAATGGGGGAAGTATTGTGGGAGGAGCTGACTGGGAGATGGGCAGTGAGAGGGATGTAAAATGAATAAGTAAAACAAAAAGTTAGGTTC